GATGCTTGTTGAATATACCTAAATGGAAATATCTTCCATCTCAAAATTTAAGCAAGTTAGAAATCATTAATTTAATGAAATTCAAATTTTAAATGTAATTAATTTTTTTAAAAATAAATGCAGTCATTAAAATTACATCTAAAATTTATACAAACTTACAAAATATTATGGAATATTTATATATATATATATATATATATATATATCCAAATGCAATAAGAACAAAAAGAATATAAATTCAAACGTTCACAGCATTAATTCAAAAGAGAGCTCAATACCAAGAGTAGAGCAGTAGTTATTTATTATAAATTTTTTACATCTGGACAAAAACAATTACTCATGACAAATATTTGTTACTCACCTGGTGAGATGCACATCTGTATCGAAACAAAAATGCATCTTTGTCGTGAGTAATGGCTTTTGCCCGTATGTAAAAATTATATATATATATATATATATATATATATATATATATATATAAAGTTCTAAGGTGTGCTATATTTATGGGATAAAGTGCTCAATGTCAGAGATACAGCATATGTGAATATAAATATAAAAGTGAACATTGAAGTCAACACTCAGAGGCGACAGGCTGTTCCATGCTAAATACAATCGTCAGGCCGACACTTGCATCTAGCATGAAACAGCCTGTTGCCTCTGAGTGTTGACTTCAATGTTCACTATATATATATATATATATATATATGTTTGAATTATCTTCATAAATATCAATTTAAGTAAAATTTTGTTAAAATTTTAAGGTATGTATGCTTTAGCATATTTTTCTCTGTAAATTGAGGAAATTCTAAACATACCAGTATTCATTTTTTTTGAAAAATGAACATATTTAGAGATTCTTGATAACATTCAAAGAAGAATCTGCAATGTTACTGGTCCTGACTTGGCATCTCAGCTTCAGTCATTTTCCCGCCACTGTAATGTAGCTTCCCTGTACCTTTTCTATAAATACTTTCATGGTAATTGTTCTAATAGGTTTTCCTCTATGGTACCCAAACTTTATGAATTCATGCAGTACTAGATTGGTCTCCTCATTTTACAGCTAAAATGGCTTGATGTAACCCCTAAGTTCTCTGCTAATAGTTTCTTTTCTCTCACTTCTCACTTGTGAAACTCTCTTTCAGCTTCTTGCTTTCCACTCAAATTGGATCTTCAAAAAATTTAAATGAAATGTTAATTGTTATCTTCTGTTTTCTTAACACCTGTTCTATTATTTTTCTAACTCCTTAATAATATTTTCTTTTTCTTATATTCTTTCACACTCAGTAATCCCCTGCATCTTAGTAGCTTTATTGCCTTGCTTGGAGTGAAATGATTTAAAAAAAAAAAAAAAAAAAAAAAAAAGTCAATATCTTTGGTAAATATACAAAAATACAGCCAGAATGCACCAATAAATATTAAAATATATAAATAGAAAATTTTATGAAAATACTGTTTAAAAAATACATAGGACTTTTTTGAGTCACCAAGTCAGCATGTGACCTCATCAAGAGAAAATATGTTATATAAAAAACAATGTTGCACTTTGTGCTTTAGTTGTTTTTATCTTAATGTAGAAAGGGGAATTGGCAAGTCAAGTTCAAATTCAGGCCTAGTCGGTAGCATTCACTTTCACACAAATGCACTTGAAAAAGGCCTGAATCCATCGCTTCTCCTCTCATTCAAGGGTTAAAAAGTTTCACACTTCTTGGTTTCTTTGTTAAATAGAGGTTTATCCCTTGTTTTCTGTTTAGGATTGGGTTTCTGGTTCCTTCTAAAGTCTTCTCATTCTCTTTCACACCCAGTAGTCCCTTGCATCTTAGTGGCATTATCACCTTGCTTGGGGTGAATAGACAAGTAGAGATTTATCCCTTGCTTCCTGTTTAGGATTGGGTTTCTGGTTCCTTCTAAATTCTACTTCAACTCTATATGTCTAAAGTCTCTACCTAAACTCTGAAATTTTATTTCCTATTTTTTTCTTCCAATAGGAGTAGATAGGTTTGCCTATTGTCTGGTTCACACTCCTCTCATTTTGAACAGGTGTAGAGGTTTATCTCTTGTTTCCTGTTTAGGATTGGGTTTCTGGTTTCTTCTGAGTTCTACTTCAACTCAAAACTTCTAACATCTCCACCTAAACTCTGAAATTTATACTATTTATTTATTTTTCCCCCTCAATAGGAGTAGATAGATTTGCCTATCATCTGGTTCATACTCCTCCTCAGTCTTTTGTTCAGAAATAGAGTTTTATCTCTTGTTTCCTGTTTAAAATTAGGTTTCCAGTTCCTTCAAAATCTATACTTCTAATGCCCCTACTTTAACTCTAAAATTTATACTATTTATTTTTTTCTTCAATATGAATAGATAGGTTTGCTTATCATCTGGTTTTGCCCTTGATTCTTGTTTATGAGTGACTTTCCAGTTCCTTCTAAAGTCTTTTCCTTCTCTTTCACTTCCACTAACTCCTTGTGTCTTATTGGCATTATTGCCTTGCTTGGGGTGAATTGATTAAAAAAATAGGAGCGCCCATTGAGCTTTCTAGCCTTGGTTGGCAGTCAGTATAGGACAGCTGTTCTGAATTCAAAACGGTGGAGAAAGCAATGAGAAAATACTCAGTTATCTTTCTCAAGAAGTCATGGCAATTCACAGATAATAATGAAAAGGAATTTGTAAAGAGACATGATCATTTATATTCCAAATAAACATTGGATTAAAACATAAAAATTCATCTAATTTAACTCTACCCTGATTCAAACCTTCAACCTGGAAGTTGAACAGGCAAGCATCCTACTAATGCACTGTCATAATGCAGTGGAAATATTTGGCTTGGCAATTACCCTTTCCACACCAAGACTAAAACAACTAAAGCACAAAATGTGACATAGTTGTTTTTTTTTTTTATATAACATGATTTCTCTTGATGAGGATACATACCAACTTGGTGACCGACTTACACACTCAAAAATTTAATACTCACTGGGCATAAAGAAGGAAGGAGAATAAGGAAAGAACATTGAGTAAACTACTACTTCTTTATGTGTTGTATCTCCTCAGGAAGTAGAAGATCATGGCTCTCCACAATTTCCTCTCCTTTGCAGCTCTAAAGAAATTCTATCTTTTCACTATTCCTAAACCCTGTTTCACCATCCTTCCAAGCTCACCAAGTATGTTATAAGTTGCAGTATAAATCATTGGTGGGCTTTGTAGGTGTTGAATAAATACAAATGTACCTGAGCAGACGTCTACACAAAAGAGACTGACTGTCCTAGCAGATGAGTGTGCTTGGAAAATGAGTTGCTCGCCATTATATTCAGAATAATATAACTCAGAAAAGAAGTGAATATATTTTTGTCTGCGTATGTGTGAGTGAGAGCGAGATGCATCATGCTGTTCAGATGAGACTGAAGTTAGTTTAACCAGAAACTGTCTCCCCAGAGAGGAAACTAGACATATCCTGTGGTAGAAAAAAGCAAAAAAGATAAAGAGGGTTTGTGTCTTTTACATCTATACTGTTTTACAACAACATCAAGTGGATGTTAAGAGATGTTTCCTGGCAGACAAGGTGGAATAATCATACAGTAATTTGTCTGTATTTTAGTCTTTCAAAGCATTACATTTTTTATTCATTTTTAGTGGAGTGCTAAACTTAAAAGTATGATGAAAAAAATATTAGCCAGACGTAAACAATAAATATCAGTATTTTATTTAATTTGTATTTTTGTAAAATTTACTGATAGCAATAACTTATTGTCTAAATGTCAAGTCAATGCAATTTTCAAATCCATGTCAATTGTCAAGATGTCAAGGTAAAATTTGACATGTCAAACAATTTTGTAATCATAAAATTAAAAATGAACCTGTTCAAAAACTAACTTCATTTTTGGTTATTTTTTAGATACTTTTCTAAGTTTATCCCTTTTTTCCTTTATAAAATTAAAAATTATTTGTACGTTTTTCATTGGTTTTCCACATTTTCAAGATTTTAGTTTTTTGTCCTTGTGAAGAACTCTCAAGACAAAAACATACTTGTTTTGATTGTGAGGATAAACAAATTTGGTAATATTGGCAGTTTAGCTGCATAAAAATAAACATTTATGCTAAATTATGAATAACGTATTTTAAAAGAACAAGTTTCAATTCATTCCATACTGGAAGATATTTGAGGCCACTAAGTCACTGAGACTAGAGCAGGATAAATGTTTTTGAGTTTGACTTATTTTCCCTCCAAAATAGGTCCCTTTCATAAAGATGGAAATGATTCTTTGCTTGTTCGGCGATTCGCATTTTATTTCTCTGTGTTAAATTTTTAAATAATTTCTTTGCTTTATTAATCTATAGGAAATACTTAATTTTTAATTACTTCCAGAGAGTACAGATGAGGTAAGTAAAAAAAAAAAAAAAACTAAAACAAAAAAAAACGTCACAAATATAGGGGAATGTAAGGGAGGTAAATCAAAGTTTGGTATACAAACAGGAATCGTTCGACAAACTTTAATAACCCAAATTTACACACTGAGTACAGTAAAGTATTTCTGTTAGTAACAATATTATTAACTGAATTATGATAATAGTGCCGGACAAATTCGTGTATCATGAGAATACGTTTTAAGGTGTTGAAATGTCATAATCAACAAGATTTGTTTAAAGTTCTCTGTCACTTGTCATAATTGCTTCCTCAATAATAATAAAAAAAAACTAGTTCAATACACCTCGCTAAACTATATCACCAGAAATTTTGTTTTTATTTTTAAATGACGAAGAATAAAACGAAATCATTTAATTTGAAACTCACAAAAAGCAATCAAAAACAAAAAAGAGAGAAAGAAACAAGTTCAAATGATAAACAAACCCCATAACCGTTGTTGAGTAGTAAAAAAACTAAAATTTCTGTTTTGAAGAAAACCATCTGCTTTGAAATACCACAGGAAAACAAAAACAAATATCGTAAATTTTTTGTTCGTATTTATTTTTGATTAAAAATTTAAATGTATATATTATTTACTTACCTTCCTGTAAGTTTCTTTCCAAGGAGGTGTAGAGACTTTGTACATAGCTTGGCGCTGAGCTGCCTTATTAGATGGTGATTTAGTTAGAGCTTCTGCCATTATTATTATTATTATTTTAATTATATCATGAGATTTAAATTATTATCAATGAAGATTAAACATTTGAAAGAATATTTGAAAAGTCATACTGAAATTAACCTTTAATTTTTTTAAACAAACTCCGAATGTTAAAAAAAATGAACTTAATTAAAAAAAAGAGATTGCGCTGTAGAATGTGTACGACACGTTACGGTTATACATATAATAATTAAGATGACGATTTTGTTTGGGTCACCAATTTAAAAGATTTTGTTTACAAGACAAAAGAAAATATTTTTCTTACTTCGGAAATGGGTAGTTTTAATTGCCAATTTTAAATTTAAATACTGACTTAGTCAAAAAAAAAAAAAATGGACATCGTGAGTTTTCAGCTTGTCTTGGAATTCGAACGGATTAACTTACAATTCTCATAATCCACATCAAAACAAAATATCTCAAGAGTCCAAGAATAACAGATAATTTTTCTTTTCAAGAATTTAGAAAAACTGAACTTAAAAAAGACTGTCACTAATTATTTTTTTTTATCTCGTCGATTTCTTTTTTTTTTTTTGCAACTGGAAAATAATTTATAAATGTTCAATCTCCTTTTCTTTTTTGTCACAACATTAAATTTGGAAATAACAAGAAGGGAAAAGAAAAACGATTGTAGATTTCTTTCTTGTTTCGACTTCAACCACGTTTCTGTGAAAGTTGGAATGAAAGCTACTAGTGATATGTGATCTCTAGAGAGAGAGAAAAAAAACAAACTATTGTTGCTGGATTGTTCTAGTTCTTTAAAGCAGAAATTCTACTAGACTCGTCTTCTCCCTCCCAAGAATTTTGCCCCCACCTTATTTTTTTCTTTTCGTCTTAGCATTATTTCTTGTTCTTTGACTTTTTTTTCAGTGATACATGCTATTTCCTCGTTTTTTGAAAGCGACACCTGGCGGTACGAACAGTTCTTTTAAAGGTGTATAACTCCAAAACCTATGATTTTTAAGAAGAACCATATCTTACCAAGATAGTTTTTGCCTATACTCATATTCGGAACATACATTTTATTTTCCATAAAAAAAGAAATATAACTTAATTTCTATGATCAATAAGAATTTGCAATATTGAAAAAGGAAGATAAATAGAAAAAAAATCTTTTGAATATAAAAAAATATTGCATAAGAAATAAAACCAAAAAATAACATTCAAAATGCCATATAATTTAATTAATTTATTCAACAGTCAGGTCCTGCCTTTTTATTTTCAATTATATACTTTTTCAAATACTTATTGGCTACAAAAGCTGAATTATATTTCGTTTTTTTTATTTATGAAATAAAAATGCATTCACAGAATATGAGGTGAGATAAAGTTTTAAAAATTTATAGTTTTATTTGTCACAGTAATTTTTTATTTATTTATGAGAAAAATGTCTGCTAAGAATGTGAGAGTAGGTAAAGCAACTTAAAGGAGGTAATTCTGTTCTTGGGATGCAAAAATTCTTTTGAATGCTAAAATGCACCCCCCCCCACAAAATTATGCTCTGCCAATATTTCAACATGTGAGAAGCTTGGCTGCTGACATAAAATCAATGGCTGAACATAAATCTATAACACCAGTGGTCATTCCATAATTTGTACCAATTCAATATCTGTTGCTGTTCATCCAAGTTAAACTTTAAATTATTTGTTCATTTAAAATACTATATTCATCACAAAATATATTCAATTTAAATACAGAAGGAGTCATGAAAATGACTTCAAAGGACTGGTTTGTACTCTTTTCCTGTTACCCAGGGGTTGTTGCCAAACAAGAAAGGAAATTAGCTTCACAATACATATGTCCATTTCGAATTCATTAAAATTATGTGTGTATGTACATTTGCATGTATCCGTATATATTTTAATTCAATAAGACCTAAAAATATTACTACAAAATTTTAAAAAGCTTTGAAAAACAATTATATTTATTAGCAAATAATTTACAAAAGTTCTATAAAATCTGATAGTTATCTAACTTTTTAGGGTTTAAAACATTAACTGTTTTTCTCTTACCTCCTACTATATGATTTTATTGCTCAGTCCAGAATAGGGATTGTACAGACTGAGTGTGAATAGAATGTATTATTTCAAACTAAGTCAAATTTTGTGTGTGTGTGTGTGTGTGTGTGTGTATGCTTGTGTGTACATTAAATAGCACAATAGAATCAGCTTTTCTTCTATAATAGAAATTTCACTTCCAAAGCAAACTGCTTAAATATGTTTATTGTACAAAGTCACTTAACATACTTAAAATGTATACGTATATTGTACACCTTGATTACTTGGATCATCTCATAAAGTTACCAATACAAACTCAGGAAATATTGATTTTAATATACCAGATGTCTATGCTGATATTATTTTGTTGCTATCACAGCAAAAGTTGACACAAGGTCAGGTTTAATGTGGTAGTGAATTTTTAAAAAAAACAAAACTGTTTACTTCTCAATAATTTGCCTTTTGGTACACCACAAGCATCAAGAAATAACACTGACCCTACATCAGGGAACAGGTTTTCTGAAATCAAATGTTATACTTTTGGAAGCAACAGGAAAATCATACATGTGGGAAAATCAGACATGTGGGTAAAAATAAAAACAGTTTTTATGTACAATATACTAACAACTGAAAAGCTATATACAAAAAAAAAAACAAGTACAAAATATTATTCCTGATAATTTAATCACAATGTAAATTTTTATCTGTCTCCTTAATTCTTGTTCATTTATTGAACAGGAATAATATTCTTTAATAATGTTTTTCTTTTTCTCATATTCTTTCACACTCAGTAACCTGTAAGCATTAGTGGCTTTATTGCCTTACTTAGGGTGAAATTATTAAAAAAGAAATTACTATATTTATTCATTGTACATTTAATGAATGAATAACGTCATGGCTCATCTATGAGGGTCGTTCAAAAAGTTTTAATCCTCACCCAAAAGAAGTTGGAGAAACAAGACAGTTTTCCAGTATTTTTCTCTATAGACACCTTGACATCAATGCACTTGGTCCAACAATCCCATCACAGAAGGAGGTGGCACTCTGGTCCTCCAAAGACTCCTCCACAGCACATATGATCTCATCATTGTTTCCAAAATGGTGACCACACAGGTGGGATTTGAGTTTAGGAAACAGGAAGAAGTTAGATGGAGCTAAGTCTGTGAAGTGGAGTAATGTTTTTGGCTAGTTTTATCAACTGTAATATTAAAGGTCTCCTCAAAATTGATTAAGGTATCATGATAAATACAAAAAATTGGAAATTCCTTGTTTCTTATTTCAAGATGTAGTATGTGGGATAATTATGTTCCCACAGGGCCATGTTAGTTTCTTTGGTCCACTGATGACAGAACTCCCTTTTCTACTTTCCAATGACAGTGTTTGAATATGCATTGCCGCCCTACCCATGAAGTAATTTGGTTGTTCTCAGTGCAAAGCTGACGAGCTTGGTCATTTTAACCATTTTTATACTTATTTACCCTAACTTACTTCTGACCCAAAAAAGAAAATGGACATACCCAAGACATTAAAAACTTTGTTTCCCTACAGTTACCATAAAAAAGAATAAATGGTCCATAGTAGAAACCCAAGCTTTTGTAAGCTGCTTCTTTGTTTATATGTGAACACACACCACTCCTAAAATTCACAAAATCTTTTAAATTCCATAAATATATACATGTGTAGGGTTACTGAAGGTGATTATTGCCCTTTGATGGAGACAAGTTACATGATGGACTGCTTAGTGAAGTCATTCCATACAGTGACAAAAGCAGCAGTCAAATTCAGTTTACAGCAACAAAACCTAACAATTGTTTTTTTGTCTGAGGCTAAATCTGCCCCCCTCCCCCTGCAGCTTACAAGCACATGGTGCCATTTCCTTTTACAAATATATCTTACCCAGGCATAGAAACAAATTCCAGTTCAAGAAAGAAACCAAAGACTCGCCATTTCCCATTTGTAGAATATTTGAATTTGGAATCCTAGACATGGCTTCTCCAGACACAGAAGTATCTCCATATTATATGTAAGATCCTTCCTTTTTGTTTCTCCTTACTTTCTGTTCACTGTGTAGATATATGTAGTATATTCTCTGTGTGGGTCACACGTGTATATATGCATATATAGTTTTGTGTATGTTTTAGTGATATAAAAGTCTCTCTGAGAACAAAGCATGGTTGTCATTCTTTTTCCTTTCAGCCATTCTGTTGTGCCTGTGAAGTATGGTGTTATTATATCATGGATATAATATTGCTCATAACAGGGGGAAATACAAATGGGAGAATACATCTTTCTTCCATTTCTTACATCTCTCACCCATTACACATGCTGCCTTTCATTCTATAAAGCTATTTCCTAACTTACAAATAAAAATGTTCCAAAGATGCCTAATTAATAGAATCTGAAAATATTAACCCAGAATTTCTCAACTTGTTTTACTTCAGAGCGCACTTGTAGAATAACTAAAACGCTGAATGAAGTATCTGTCTATATTTCTGAGATGAGTTATTATGTACACTATTTACATTATTCAGACTATTGTCCTCATCTTTGTCGCCATATTTATTACAATGTTTCGGCCATTGTACGCTCCGGCCTTCTTCAGGTGGTTGTAATGTTGAACTGAACCCTTTATTTCGCTCACTGTAGACTGTTCTAGTTCCATGTGCCATGTTTAATGGATGTCAGTTATCCCCTCTCTAAGTTCCCTTAACCAGGTATCGAACTCACACTCTTTGGGTCCTGTCACTGGATCTAACCAACGCCTTTATCCACTGTGCCATGTGTCCTTGAGGACATCTGTGTATGAATTTCTGGGTATTATAAACCTAATGTCTCAGCCACCATTTTTTTACCAGTGCTCATATTGCAATTTTTGCCGTTATCACACATGTTTTTACCAGAGCTCATATTGAAATTTTTGTTGTTATTATCGCT